CAAGCCACGCCCCACTTCGTCTCTGGGCCCCGCCGCAGCCCCGCCCCACCCTCCAGCCCCGCCCCTCCCTCCAGCCTGGCCCACACCCTCCAGCCACGCCCTGGGCTCTGTCTCTGGAGTCAACTACTCTAGGGACCACCTGAGAATGAAATCCTACCATATCAACCTTTTGTGACCACCTCATGTCACTTAGCACATGTCCTCAAGTTGTAGAATTTCCTGTGTTTTTAGGTCCCATTAATAATATATATACACATCTTACTCCACTTGTGCTGTGTATCCAGATGCCCAAGACCAGGTGATTGTAAAGAACAGAAAGTGGTTCTCACACCCTGGCACCAAACTGGAGCCTCTTGCCAGGGTCTTCCTTTCTAGAAAGCCCGAGGCCAGCAGAGGCCTAGACATCCTCCATCAATCTTGCTGACCCTGCAGAGTTGTTTGCTCCCTTGAGGTCCAGCGGTCAAGCCCGCCTGCCTGTCCTTCCTTCTTTATGGCTCCTACTAATGGTCACTTAACAGGGTTTCCTCTGGCCAGGCCCTGGCTGGGCTTTGCCCGTTATCCTACCGTGGCCTTCAACCCATTTACAGAGGGGAGGGACGGGGCCCAGAAAGGCCAGGGCCTGGTTCCAGGAGGCACAGCCTCACCACGGCAGACAGGATGGGGCTGGGCCCATCTCACCCCGTCCAGAACTCTGCCAGATTCTGGGAATTTTTCAGGGAGGCCACAGAATGTTCATTCATGGTCTGAGAAAAGATGGGACCCTGCAACATGATAATGGACGAATGTCTAGAATGTCTAGTTAAACTACCGAAGCTGGGCCTGGTGGTGCGGACCCATCATACCAGTGACTCAGGAGGCTGAGGCACGAGGATCACAGATTGAGGCCAGTCTTAACAATTCAGTGAAACTATCAGCAACTTAGTGAGACCCTGTCTCAAAATAAAAAAATAAAAAAGGACTGGGGATGGGGTTCAGTGGAGAGCCCCTGGGTTCAATCCTCAGTACTAAAAACAAGCCAAACCAAACCATGAAACCAGCTGCAGAGCCGAGCTGTAAGCCAGCCTGAGTAATTGTTAAATTTAGTGTTCATAAAAAGTTCCTTCCATTCAAAAACCACAGTTTTGCTGGCTGGATTTTCTCACACTGAGCAAATGACTGATGACTGCTGTGGAGACTCAATTTATATGTTTCCCAAGTAACTTCAAAAGTAGGTTTAGAAAAGTGCTTCACAAAAAATCAGGCTAACAGAATGTCCTTAGTGTGAGCTGTGGGTGTGTTTCAGTGTTTGCTCTAACAGTGGGACCGAGAAATCGGGGGGTTTTGGAGACCCTGGCCTTGGGCTCAGACTTGCTGTCTAGAAGAGAGGGCCTCTAACCCCCCACTGCACTGCCCCCTGGGGACTCTGTGCAGTCAGCCCAGAGGCATGCCAGGCGGACCCGGTTCACATCCTGGCTCTGCTACTTCCTGGCTGCGTCACCTCGGGCGGGCCGCTGGTTACCGTATCTGTGCCTCAGGTTGACCACCTGTAAAAAACGCAGCCTGGTGGGAGTCACTGCTTGGCGAGTGTAGCTCTTAGTGCAGTCCTCGCCTCCTGCGGAGGACCCGAGGCGGGCCCAAGTTCTGTCAGCGAAGAAGGCTAAAGAAACCACAGGGGGATTCGCGGGCATGGGACAGTGAGACCAAGAGACAGCAGTGGGGACGTCTGCAGAGTTGGCCTCACAGCTGTGCGGCAGGCAGGTGAGCCTCAGGCAGGTGTGTGGCTGCCAGGTGAGCCCACGGGCAGGTGAGCCACAGGCAGGTGAGCCACAGGTAGGTATGCAGCAGGCGGGTGTGCGGCAGGCAGGTGAGCCTCGGACAGGTGTGCAGCAGGCAGGTGTGCAACAGGCAGGTGAGCCTTGGGCAGGTGAGCCACGGGCAGGTGTGCAGCAGGCAGGTAAGCCTTGGGCAGGTGAGCCACGGACAGGTGTGCAGCAGGCAGGTGAGCCTTGGGCAGTTGTGTAGCAGGCAGGTGAGCCTCGGGCAGGTGAGCTGCCACGTGGGTGCCTGCTTTGTAGTTCAGGTGCTTTGGCTGCAGCCCAGACAGCCCTGGCTTTGGGGCTCTGAGCTTCCCAGGCCTCGCTGCTATGGACTCTGTGGCCTCCTGTTTCCCAGACTCCACTTGTGCCAGGGGACAGCCTGCTGGTGTCACAGGGAAAAGTAGATGTTTCCCCAAAGGCTGGGGGTGAGGCAGGTCTGAGGAGTGTTTGGAACCAACAAGACAGGATATGATATCAAAGGCCCATCCCCACCTGGAGCCTCAGCAGGAGCAAGCAGAGAACATGTGATCGAGCGGCTCAAGGGGGCTTCCCCTCCCTCTGGACATCTCCTTATTTCTAACTCGTAGGTTATTCTGCTCCTTAGGACAAAATGTCAGTTGAACGCCTACTGAATCAGTTAGAAATGCTTTTGTCTTCTCATAGTAGGAACTGGACTTAATACAGTAAAGACATTTTCTCTTATATAACTAAATGCTCAGAGTTCATGGTCCTAGAACCCAGCAATGCTATTTGCACCCAGAAATGCACCTTTCTGTTTGGTTCTCTTAGCTTCTTGCTAGTTGCCTCACAATCACAAATGGCTGCCACACCTCCAGGTATCTCATTTATAATGAACTATGGCCCAAAGCCAGCAGCAGTTCAGTTTGAAAGTGCTTTTTCAATTTTCACATTAGGGAGAAAACTTCTCACGGTCGTCCCTTGACCCACGGTCTTCTGCTTAGTTCTCATTGGCCAGAGAGTCCCCTAAACCGGTTTGTGGGTAAATGGACAGGAATTTCTGAGAGAAGCTGGGATTGCTCAGGATTCCTCCCTTGATGCTCACGAGGGGCTCCGGACTCACTACCCAGGCGGGGAGTCTTTTAGTTCTGAGGGTAAGAGTCAGTTCTGACCTGCTCTCCTCCTAGCTCATTTTACCCTCAGAGTGGCCTGGGGAAGGTACAGCCCTGATCCCTTTTACTGATGAGGCACTGAGGCTGGGGTTCCCCAACTTGCCTCTGGGCACCAGTCGTAGGACACTATAGAGGCTGGGGCTGTGGTGCCTCGTGGTCAGCTGTAAAGATGCCCTGTATTGACGGTGGCCCTGGTCATCTGTGCGTGGACCACTCCAGCGTGCAGACCTTGGCGAGGATGGGCACAAACACGGGTGAGGCACTGCAGCTCAGAGAGGTCAGCTGACCGCCATGGTCACAGTGGGCAGCACGGAGCTCACGCTCTCCCCTCTCCCTGCTGCCCAGGCTCCTAGATGCCCAGGGGACAGGGTGGGTGGGCTGGGGCTGGGGCTGGAGCGAGTGGGGCCAGGCCAGGCCACGGAGCCAGGCTCAGAGGGCATGAGTGTGCCGACGTCCATGTGGCTTGGCAGGACCTTGCCCGCTGCTCTGCCAACTCCCTTCCCAGGCAGATGGCAGGTGCCGACGGCAGCCGGGCTCAGCGTGGGCAGTGAGGGCTAGTGCAGGAGAGGCAGAGGCCAGGGGTGAGGGTGACAGCTGAACAGGGACAGAGTCCTGGGCCGCCGACCACCCTGAACCTCAGTTTCCCCAGCCGTGACTTGGTGATGGGGAGAGCCAGCCTGCCGTGCCTCAGTTTCCCCTGTCGGGCAGCTCAGGCGTGGTGGTTGCTTCTGTCTTGACCGCCCAGACTGGCACGTGCTCGGCACGAGAGGCCTGCGCGGGCCTTCAGACTCATGCAGAGGGCCTCTCCCACTGCCCCACGGCCTTGCGTCACCCCTGCTGCCTCCGACCCAGCGAGACCCCTGGAGCAGTTCATTTCATCCCCCAGAGCTCTGGGGTGTGGCGGGATGATCCCCCTGTTTCAGGGGCATAGAACCCTGCAGAGCGGCCTCAAGGTCAGCTTCCCGGCCCTCCACTCCCCTCCCCGCTTCCTTCCATGTTTTATGTCCCATCAGGGCTAGATTTGGGCTTCCACGTGAGGCCATGTGAGAGCACAGGCCTGTGCCAGGGCCCTGCCCACACGGTGCCAATTCTACTGGGAGATAGACCTTAAACAGAACAGGCCTCAGCACCGGTCACCTGCTCTGAGTCCTTCCCCTAACCACCCTACAGTAGCCCCCAGTGTGCTGGGCAGTGAGAGGGACGGGAGGTGTTCCTGGGGAGGACTTGTGGGGGAGGGCTTGGGGACTACTGTAGGGTAGTTAGGGGAGGACTCAGAGCAGGTGACCGGGTGCTGAGGCCTGAAAAGCCCAGGGCAGCACCCCAGGTGGAGGAGAGAGCAGGTGCAAAGGCCCCAGGGGAGTGGCGTGCGCAGCAGGGCAGGAGCCCGAGGGTGAGCCGTGAGTGGGCAGGACGGGGCTGAGGACCCCAGTGAGATCATGGCCTCTGAGCCTGGTTAGCTTGTGCCTCTCCCCACAGGGGACAAAGTGCCCCCAGTGGTGACTGCCAACCCAGGATGACAGGTTTGCTCTCAGGTGATAAATCCAGGACCTGTCACTCTAACCTGTGTCTGCCCTGCTGTGGTGAGGGACCTCGCTGGTCACCTGCCCCAGGTCCCTCAGGGTGGGGAGCCCAGGCTGCCCAGAAGCCAGGTGGATGCCAGATGCTACCCCGTCTGCCTGGCTGTTGAGCTGGGCCTGCACCACCTGGACCCTGGATGTCCCTCCTGCCATCCTGGCAGCTGGGGGTGGCTGCCCGGGCTGCACCCCCTGGGGGCCCTCCCTCAGCCGGGCCTGAGCTCACTGGCTCTCCAGCACTGTCTGGCTGGGTCAGTAAACCCAAGGCCGGAGCTGCCCCCACCGCTCAGGGCCTGGCCTGTGCTCAGCAGCAGCCACCTCTGATAGAGCAGCGGTATCCCTTGAACCTGGGAAAATGGCCTCCCCACTCCCAGGCTGCTGGCAAGGGGGCCGCAGAACCCTCTGCCGCTCCTTGGCCAGTTGTTGGGGAGGGAGGCGGCTGGAGGGCTTCTTGCCAGTGACCCCCTCCCCAGCTCCTTTCTCAGTCCACAGACTTCAGGACTGCAGCCTTGTCCCCAGGGGGACACAGCAAGGCTCCGGCCCCTGTCCCCGCCTGGCTGCTTTCTCCTTCCCACCTCTGGGCCTTTGTCCTGCTGTCCTCTGCCCGAGTCCCCCGCTGCCCTTCCACTCTCTCTCCGCCGCTGTGTTGAGATGATCGGGGTTGCAGGCAACAGAAATGATGTTGGATAATTTAGCGGGGGTGGTGGTGGCAGGGGACAGGGCTCCTTGGGAGGAGGTGGGGCAGACCTGGGAGCCAGGCGCCAGGGAAGTCTGAGGAGGGGGAGCCCCGGGGAAGAAGCACACACCTGCCTCCTGTCCTGCCTCCTCCCCTCAGGTGTCCCGCACCTGGGCAGGATGGTGACTCCTTGTCTGGCCCCGGGGTGGCTGGGGCAGAACCCTACAGTGCCCTGCGCACTGGCCTGTCCTCTCCAGGCTTCCAGAGGGAGGTGGGTCGATCCCAGGTGGCCCTGAGAGGAACCACGTTCCCTGGTTCTGATGGTGTCAGTTGGCAAGTTTTTAGTTGCAGGGACAAAGCCTCAAGTGGAAGGGGACTTAGAGGAGTAGCGTGGATGAGGAGGTGTGGGCGGTGGCTCTGGCGGGATGTGGCTCAGAGTTGCCAGCTCACCTAAGGCCACTGTGCCCCTCTTGTTCCATGCCAGGGAGACTGCCAGACGCGAGAGGAGGCCGTGGCGCTCGGCGTGGGCCTGTGCAACAACGGCTTCATGCACCACGGTAACCCTTCCCCGGCCTCTGCCCAGCGCTCCCTGCCCGCCTCGCCCGTCACTCAGAGCGCGGCTCCTGCTGCCCGCCAGCCCCCTGCGCCGTTCGGGGGGCCCATGTCAAGGCGGCCTTCCTGCCTGTGGCTGAGCCCACGTGGCCTGCCAGACTCATGGTTCTGCTCTTCTCCAGCCGGTGCCTGTTGTGTCCCAGGCTCGGTGCTAGATCCTGGGGACAGCAACGAGCAGAACAGGTCCCAGTTGTTTCTGTGTGTGTCCCAATCAGAAAGAGCACATCTTCTGGAACGTTCCAGGTGGTGCAAGTGAGGAGGCCTTGGACTCTCTCTGAGCGAGGCAGGAGTCCCCAGAGGTTCTGAGCAGGAGGGACGTGGTGACTTGGGTTTCTTCTAGACCCTTCTGGCTGCAGTCTGTGGGGCGGGGCAGGGGCCTGGAGGAGGTCCAGGGTAGGGCCACATGGCTAGGGCCAGGCGGTGGCACAGAGGTGGGAGAGTGTTGGGTCAGGAGACCCTGGGCCTCCCCAGCTGCCACTCTTCTGATGAGTCAGCTTGGAACTTTCTCTTGAAGGGCCAGGTGGCAAGTGCTCTCAGCTCTGCGGGCCACAGGGTCCCTGTCACAGCCACTCTCTGCCCTTGTAACACAGAAGCAGCTGCAGACAGCACTGAACCAGCTGGGCATGGCCGTGTGCCGTCAGACTTTATTTAGGGAACCAGGGGTGGGCCACTGGGTTCCAGTCCCACAGCCTGCCTTCTGGCTGGTGCCCGGGGCGGGAACTGCCTCTGGGGGGCTCCCCGCTGGGCCTCAGTTCCCCCGCTTCCCCGGGAGGCCTTGCCATCTGCCACGGTTTATGGGGTCGGGGCTGCTTCCTGCTGTTCATTTCCCCCGTGAGGCTAGGCCACCCATCTGCCCTGGCTCAGTGTGCCCAGAAGCTGCCCTTGTGCCCCTGGGGCCTCCCAACAGCTCTGCTCGCCCACCAGCCAGCTGGGCCGGACCTCGTGTTTGTGGGTGAGGGTAATTAGGGGTCCACCCCCGCTGCTATTCCAGGAAGGCTGCTGGGAGAGGACATCCGCAGGGGGGTCCCAGCAGTTTGGACGCTCTGGAGGGTGGGAAATTGCAGGGTGCGGCCCTGTTCTCCTGTCCCTGCCACGACCTCAAAAATAGGCTAAAATAGGAAAAAGAGCCCAAGCCCAGGATTGCGGCCTTGGCCAAGTGCAGGGCAGGCACAGAGTGGGGCTGGCGGGACCTCCTGCAGTGGAGCTGAGCTGTCCCAGAGAAGTGCCCCCGGCTGGACCCTCTCATGCCAATACAGGCTGTCTGCTCTCTTCCCTGTGGATGAGGCTGCACGTGCATGTGGTCAGGGTCACCAAGGGCCCAAGCAGGGGACCTCACTCCACACAGACCTCACTCTGTGTGGCTCCCAGAGCCTGGCCAGCGGCCTCCACAGAGAGGTGTAAGTTGGGCCTCACCTGGGGATTCCCTGCCTTTTCCCGACACGCCAGCAGGACACAGCACTGCGTTCTCCTCCCACTCCCGGAATTTTCTAGCTTCGTGTTTACAGTAGAGGCCAAGCCAGCCCGCCCTCCTGGCTGCCCACTCTGGGGAAGTAGCAATTTGTGTGTCTGTTTTCTCCAAAGAGGTGATATGGTGGCCAGACAGGTAGGGTCCTGGCGAAGTGTCCTGGGGACCAGGAAGAGGAAACACTTCCTTTGTCTTCTGTTCAGCCACCAGATCCCCTGTCTTTAGGGGTGCGTCTAGGCAGCTGGTTCTCCTGGCCACAGGGACCCGCCAACCTCAGGCAGCTGGCTACCTTAACCTCACAGGCCCGATTCCCCTGGCTTATTCACCCAGCCCTCGCTGACAGGCCCGGGGGGCAGCACAGGGAAAGGAGGGGCCTGCGTGGGGCCCCAGTGCGGCTGCTGACCCTGACCTGGGCGGATTTGTCTGTCGGCCTGGGCGTTGGTCTTTCCACCTGTGGAAGGGCTGCCACAGAGGCCTGGCCCGGAGGTGCCTGGTGACCCTAAGCCATGGCCTCGGGCTGCGTCTGGTTTCTTGGGTGCATTTTCCTGGCTCATCCTGGTACGGGGTCAGCACTTTTTTCTGTAAAGAGTCAGATAGTGGGAATTTAGGCCCTGTGTGCCTTGTGACCTGTCACACCTGTCCAACCTTGGCATTGTGGCTGGAGAGCTGCCAGCTGCAGACAGTGTTGGGGCTCTTTCCAATAAAACTTTATTTGTAGGAACAGGTAGTGGGCCAGACGTGGGTCCTGGAGCCTCAGTTTGCCGACCCCCTTGGTTTGTGTCCGTACCTGCCTTAGCCCCGAGGTGGCATGCATGTGCTTGGCCGGCTGTGGCTTTACTGTTCACAAGCAGGTCTTCCACCCCCAGGAGTCCTGGTGTGTGGTGTGAGGTGGGGGTCTGGCTTACTCTTTCCCGAGTCAGAGTCCCATCTGCAGAGGGTTCTGCAGTCCTTTACGCCCGTCACACCCTGAGCAGCCAGGGGGTTTGGGACACACCAAACCTGTGTGGGGGCTAGCCCAGCCCTTGGCTGCCAGGTGGCAAGTGTGGCTGACGTGTGGCTGTGAGTCTGACCGTGGCTTGTGTGTCTGGGTCTGCAGTGCTGGAGAAGAGCGAGTTCAAGGACGAGTCCCAGTACTTCCGCTTCCACGCTGACGAGGAGATGGAGGGGACCAACAGCAAGAACAGACAGCTTCGAAATGACTTCAAGCTGGTGGAGAACATCCTGGCCAAGAGGCTGCTGGTAGGAGCAGGCTGGGCCCGGGCACCGTCCTTCCCAGGCCTCCTTGGGATTGGAGGTGGCCGGAGGTCAGGTCACTGCATGGCCCAGGCGTCCTCCTCACACAGGTCCGGGGTGCTGGGCACCCTCCCTGAGCTCCAGCTCCACTTGTCTTCCCGGCTGCTGCAGCCTGGCGCTGTGCCCGGGGACGGCCTCCCAAAGCCACTCCCCTGTCCCTCAGAGCCTGGGTCTCAGACTGGCGCCTGCCTGTGTTCAGTGGCTGTCAATAGCTCTGCAATTCAGGGAGGTCTCACAGCTGTGCAGGAAGTTGACCCGCCTAGCCCCCCAAGTCCTGTTTCTCTGTCCACCAGTGAGCACCAGCCCCTCCAGATGCGTGGTCCCAGCGGGTGGTGGACAGGGGCTCAGAGCGGGTCACTCACCCTGCCCAGGTCAGAGCCGGAGTCGGCCTGGTGTGGAGACGCTCAGTGCCTTCTGTGGGTTCCGTTTCTCCTTCCTCTCCGGGGCTCCCATCACACCCAGGGTGGGCTGCACGTGCTCAGCGTGGCCTAGGGGACTCCGCCTCTCCCCTCTGCCTCCGGTGCTGTCCTCGCCCGGCCCCAGCCACCTGAGCCCTTTCCTCCCCCTTCAGTGCCTCAGGGCCAAGGCCCGCTGGCTGCTGCCTGGGGTCCTTCCCCACTCCTGTGTCTAGCCCTCAGCTCCAGTGTGGCCTTCGGCCGCCCAGGGCAGGCCCCGGCCCTCAGCTGCTGTCCGGTAGTTCAAGCTGCTCACAGCCTGCACCGCGGTCTGCGGTTGATCCCGGGCTGGCCCTCCCCTGCCGTCAGCTGCAGAGGGGGACTGTCCAGTCCGTCTTGCTGGGGAGCGTGTCTGCCGTACCCATGGAGTGCTTGGCGTGTGTGACCGGCCGGCTCCCTGGACGTTATTGCATGGCCGCGCCCATTTCCCTGTGTCCCCAGGAGCCCCAGCACCTGCTTCCAGCAGTAGAGGGCTGCTGCTCCTTGAGCTGCTTTTCCACTCCCACAGTCATGGGGCTGGGTGTCTTGGGTCTGCTTTGTTCATTAAGTCATTTATTGAGCACCTATGGTATGCCAGTGGACGGGGAGACAGCGTGTAGAGAGGGGACTGTCCCTGGGTTTGCAGGAGGAAGGGGTGACAGATTGAACACACACCAGGCTCTGGCGGGAGCCAGGTGGTGCCCTCACCTCAGGTGCCTACTGTGTGCAGGTGGGGCTTGTATTTGGCCTGGTCTGGCTGCTGTGCTGCAGGCCCCTCATCTGCACCCCACCCTGGTGGCCCTGGGGCATGAGGAGGCGGCAGGATCCCAGTCCTGTGGGCATCAGGGTGGGGTGCCCTGGGCACCTCCTGCCTTACCGGGTCTGCTTCGGGCCCCCAGATCCTGCCCCAGGAGGAGGACTACGGCTTCGACATCGAGGAGAAGAACAAGGCCGTGGTGGTGAAGTCGGTCCAGAGGGGCTCGCTGGCCGAGGTGAGGCCCAGGGCCGCTCTGGCAGGGGCTTGTGCAGGTGGGAGGGCAGCTCAGCAGGTCTGGGGGCGAGGGCTGCTGCTCTCTCTTGTCCATATGGGGAAACTGGGCCCAGGACCCCTGCAGGTACTAGGGAGCCGGACGCCCTGGCCGCTCAGCGCTGTCCTGGTGCAGCCCACCAGCGCCCCCTGCTGGCGCTGTGTGGAGGCCCAGGATACACTCAAGTTCTGAATCAGATTTGGAATGAGCTGCGAGGATAAAAACCTAAATATTGGTGGCTCCAGCAGGAGGAGCTCATTGTCCCCTGGGTGTGGTCTGGAGGAGAAGGGAGGGGAGGGGATCTGAGCCCCAGACTCGCAGCTACTCCTGGGTGGGGACGGGGGGGCTCCAGCTGCCAGGCCAGCCAGCCCAGGCTCCCAAAGCCCTATGTGAGGGGCAGTCACCAGGTGGCCACCCTGTTAGACCCCCTGCTGCACCCAGCCGGGCAGGCCACCTGTGGCCCCGTAGCTGTGTCCAGACCCAGGCCCTGGGCCCTGCAGGGCTTCCCTGGGGGAGCCGCCTTGGCCCGCTGGGCTGTCCCTGTCCTTGAGGAACACAGGGAGGGTCCTTCACTGTGGATGGCAGTGTTGGCACTCACACGCCTGTCCTCTGCTGCCCCCAAGATGGCCGGCCTGCAGGTGGGCAGGAGGATCTACTCCATCAACGAGGACCTGGTGTTCCTGCGGCCCTTCTCGGAGGTGGAGTCCCTCCTCAACCAGTGCTTCTGCTCCCGCCGCCCCCTGCGCCTCCTGGTGGCCACCAAGGCCAAAGAGTGAGTGTCCCCGGGCCTGGTGCCCAGCCTGATGGCAGGCTGAGGAGGGACCAGTGCTGGGGCTGGTGGGGTGGGAGCTCTGTGGCCTGGGGGGTGGCCGTCACTGCAGGCACCATGGGACACGCTGCCCCTGCTCTTCAGCAGCCTCGGCTGGGCCGAGGGGCGTGGGCCTGGCATCAGCCCTGTCAGCATGGACGCAGCTCCTGCCCTTCATGGGCCCCTGGTCAAGTGGGGGACAGAGCAGGGGACAGAAGTACACAGGTCGGGGCGTGAGATAGGTCCCCAGCTGGGGCAGCGAGTGAGCCATGGAGACGCACAGAGCTGGCCTTAGACTGTGCTCTGCAGATGAGGTGGGCAGAGAGGTCACCAGGGCCCCTCACGGGGACTTCTGAGGGAGCAGGGCTCAGGCAGAGGAAGCAGCGGTGCCTGGGCCTGTGGTGGGGCCGTCTCTGGCAGCTGTGAGGCCCAGTGGGGAGGCCAAGGGGTGCGGACGGGGTGGGGGAGGCCAGCGGGACAGGGCGGCCAGGCCTGTGGGGACAGATGAGGTACAGGGGAGAGTCGTCCATTGAAAACTCCTGCGCTTGGTGTCTAGGCCTCTCTTTTATTTGAGGCCAGCGCTCTGTTGACGGGAGGGGGACGTTCTGATGTGACAGTTTCAGTAAAAGGCCAGCTCGCTCAGGGAGATCTGAGCATGGTTCGGCCGTGCAGGTGGCGGCGCTGGCCAAGGGGGAGCCGTGTGCTTGTCTTCCGGAAGCACCTGGGGTGTGGAGCAGGCTTAGGGGATGGCTTTCTCTGGCACACGAGGGGACGTGCCAGAACAGGAGGGACGAAGGCAGGCCTGGGGACATAGCCTGGGTGGGCGTGTCCAGGACAAAGGATGCCTGCTGCCCGCCCTAGCAGGTGTGGCCCCTCTCTGCCGTGGTCGAGAACGGGCCCCAGCGTGTCTGACACTCGGGCTCTCCATCCCCTCTCTAGGGGTCTGGTGGGTGTTTTGGGGGGACAACACCAAGATGTGCTGGGCCACTTCTCACCCTGCCGTCTACGATAATTGAGTCAATGTCCACGGGGGTGCTGGCCTGGCCTCCAGGGCTCCTGGGTGTGGGGGCGGTACAGGCAGGCCTGTGGAACTTCGGGGCTCTCGGCCACCGAGGATTGGTGGCGTGGACTCTGGGTAACTGGCATGTCCCCTCATGTGGGACTGGGCTGCCTGGTGCCGCTCCTGTTTTGGGCTGAGTTTCCCAGAAGCCTTAGAGGCAGGGGCTCCCCCAGGTGGCCCCAGGTTATGGGGAAGGATGCTGCTTTCCTATGGCCTTACCCTGTTACTATGCCTGCGGCAGGACCATCAAAGTCCCCGACCACCCAGAGGCCCTGTGCTTCCAGATCCGAGGAGCCGCCCCGCCCTATGTCTTCGCCGTGGGGAGAGGTGAGCAGGAGCCTCGCTGACCAGCAGCAGCTCTGGGCTGGGGCTGTCTGTGTCCCCGGAGTTCAGAGTCGCGGGGACCCGTGCACCCAGCTCTGCCGGCCCGGGTGCCATTGGCATTTTTTCCCTTCCTGAAGCTAAGACTTGGGAACACTAAGCACACGTGGGCGGACCAGCCTGAGAGACACCAGGGAGCCCTGGGGACCATGGCAAGTGACGGGCGCTGTTCGTCCCTGAAGCGGCAGCGCTCTCCAAGCTCGGCCTTGCGGGGCAGGGACTGGCCTTGGAGCCAGACTGGGCGTGTCAGGAGAAGTGAGGGTCCCACTGAGCCATGCCGCAGCCCCAGGGCCACCAGCTGGAGGCCTCTCTCTCTGCAGCGCCTTGTCCTGGAGAGGAGACGGGCAGGTCTGCAGAACTGGGCTCAGCATTGTATACCCAGGGCTTCCTTCTAAACTCTAAAGGTCACTTTTGAGGTCAGAGTTATACCTCTAATATCTGTCCACTGAGAAAGTGCACGTCCTGCAGAGGGCTCGCAGAAACGGAGAGCATTTTAGAGTGAGCTTGTGATTTATCTTTGAAGCAGTGATCTGTGACTGCGGGTGACTTGCCTCCTTCTCCAGAGGACATCTGGCAGGACTGGAGATGTTTTCAGTGGTCACAACTGGGGAGGATGTGCCATTAGCCTCTAGGGCAGACTGGAATGCAGCTGGCACCCCGTAGTGCCCAGGGTGGCCCTACAGAGCCGAGCTCCCTGGCCCAGGCGGTGGGAGTGCAGGGGAGAAGCCCTGCCCTGGAGCAGCCGCAGCGTCTAGTGATCAGCTGTGGTAGTGTTCATGGGTGTGCCAGCAGCTCTCCGTTACTATAACAAAATACTCAAGACTGTCACCCTACATGGAGGAAAGGTTGGCTGGGCATGGTAGCACATGCCTATAATCCCAGCAACTCAGGAGGCTGGGGCAGGAGGATCCCAAATTTAAGGCTAGCAACTTGGTGAGACCTTATCTCAAAACAGGGCTGGGGCTACTGCCTTGGTCCGGCTCTTCGTGTTTCCTCCATCTCTGAGAAAGCACCCGGCTGGGTCCAGGCCTTTGGGGTCATTCCAGGTCCACACCGTAGCAGTGGGTGAACCAGCCAAGCCCAGCAAGGCTGCCATGTTCCCGAGCCCTTGCCCAGAGCCGGGCTCGGTGCTGGACGCCTCCTGTGCCAACTCCCTGGTCTCTCAGGAACCTTGTGAGTGGCTTGATCCTCGTCCCCTCTTAGCAGTGAGGACCCTGAACCCAGCAGGTGGAGGAGCCCTGAATGATGGTTCTGTGGACAGCAGGGTGTGCCCTTGTCACCTGCCCATACAGGCAGAGTCTCAGTCTTTGGCTGCAAGTCACATTGTCCCCAAGGCCCCAGGGGACGCGGGAGGAAGGTGCGCCTGGTGACTGGTAGCGCCGGCTCGAGGCCTGGCTTCTGGCCAGGTGGCCTCGAGGCTGCCGATCCTCCTGAGCCTCTGCTCCCCTGGCCACACGGGCTGACCCTGGTGCAGGACCACGGGTTGTGCAGGACAATAAGGGAGACGAAGTTGAGTGACCTGAGCCTGGATTCAGACCCGCGTCCCCTGTGTGTGGCCTTGGCTAGCTGTCCCCTCTGAGTCTGTCTCTTCTGTGAAGTGGGGTGCCAGGTCCCACTCTGTGCACTCGGGGGCCACTGCTGGCTCCAGGGGGAGGTGTGGCCAGGTGCCTCCGGTGGCCTGCCTTGCCCGCTGCGCCCCGCCGCCCTGGCCCTGCCTCAAGCGCTCCTCCCCCAGGCTCCGAGGCCGCGGCTGCCGGACTGTGTGCCGGCCAGTGTGTCCTGAAGGTCAACGGCAACAGCGTGGCCAGCGAGGGTGCCCAGGAGGTCCTGGAGCACTTCCAGGCGTTCCGGAGTCGTGGAGAGGAGGCTCTGGTGAGCGGCCGGGGTGGGTGCCCTCCCTGGGGAGACGTGCGGGCAGCACAGGGGGCTCTGCCCGGGGCACCAGAGGACTGGCCCCACCCCCACCTGGGTCCCCAGCTCTGGGATAGGGACAGGGGCTCTAGGCAGGGTAGCATCGTCCACACCCTCTGCTGTCTGTCTAGGTGTCCATGGCCAGACTATGACTTGGCCTGGGGACACGGGTGCTGGCACTTCCCAAGGCTCCCTCCCCTGGCAGTGGGGGGCGGGCGCCATCCAGGCCGAGGGCAGGGTGTTCCCGGGGCCTTGGGAGCTCCAGGGACATCTGGAGGCTCCTTTAGGGCAGTGTCCCTAACCAGCCCAGAGCTGAGCGGGTGGCCCCTTGGCCCCGTCCCCTCCTCCCTGGCCGTCCCTCTCACAGCGGCTCCTCCCAGGGCCTCTACCACTGGATCTACCACACCCACGAGGACGCCCAGGAGGCGCGAGCCAGCCAGGAGACCCCCGGAGAGGACCCGGGGGCCCAGGAGGACGACCAGCCAGACTCTGGTAGGGGGAGGCGGGGTCGCGACAGGGACAGGGAGATGTCCTGTTCTGTGCCGGTGTCCTGCCCACCTGTGGGACTGGGTGTGGGGGGCAGGTGGGCAGGCTCTTCCAGGGCGGGGTGGACGGCAGCAGGCAGCAGAGGCAGCCAGCGCCGTGGAACGGGCTCCAGCCGCCCTCGGGTTGAGGCTCCCGTCGCGTGCGGGTGCCAGGGCTTGGCTGCGTGGCACGACTCCCTCCTCAGTGTCACCTGCCCCCTGGCTTCCAGCCTGGCCCCTGCTGTCCCTGGGCCCACAGCTGAGCCTGCGCGAGGACGGGCCGGTGGTCAGCCTGACGGTGGACAACGTGAGCCTGGAGCACGGTGTGGTGTACGAGTACGTGAGCACGGCCGGCGTCAAGTGCCACGTGCTGGAGAGGATCGTGGAGCCCCGCGGCTGCTTCGGCCTCGCCGCCAAGGTCCTGGGCGGGGGCCCTCCTGGAGCCCGAGGTCCAGTCCCTGTCCCTGTACCTGGCGGCCAGGGGCCGAGGAGGCGACTTGTCCCTTAGCCTGAGTCTGCAGCATGGCTGCAGCGGACCTGACCTGGGGTGCTGGTGGAGCCCGGACCCTCCTGGCTCAGCGGGTGCTCAGCGGGTGCTCAGCGGCCACTGCTGCTTCTGCAGGTCCTGGAGGCCTTCGTGGCGGAGGACAGCACCTTCGTGCAGAACTGCGGACGGCTCATGGCCAGGAGCAGCGCCATCGTGACCATGTCCCACTTCGAGTTTCGCAACATCTGTGACACCAAGCTGGAGAGCATCGGCCGGAGGATCGCCTGCTACCAGAAGGTAGCTGCGCCCCACAAGTCCCCACCGCTGGCTGCCGGGCGTGGGACCTCACCTGGAGTATTTTTTTCGTCAGTGTCAAACTCCAGTCCAACTTTGCTTAAATAGGAAATTTTATGGGTTTCTGTCACTGAAGAGTACAGAGGTGAACTTCAGGCACGGTTGTATCCAAGCTCTCAATCGGATATGACACTATTGCAGGAGTACGGCCACTCTCCGTCCCTCGGCTTTGTTCCCCACGTGGCTTCACACTCGGGCCGTGAGGTGGTGGCCCTCATAGCTCTGGCTTTAGCGCTGTCAGAGGGAGCTCTTGCTGGCCCTGTCCTAGCCCCTGTTGGGGGGAAGGCAGCCCTGCCTGAACCTCAGAACTGAGCCAGGAGAGACGGTTCCTTGAGGCCAGCTTAGTGCCACAGCTGACCTGGAGAAGTGGGTGCAACTGTCCTGAGGCCGCCGCGCCCCGGGAGGGACAGTGTGGGGGCAGTGCTTCCCATTCGGAGGCCCTGCTCCTAGGGGTGGCCAGAATCCCCGGTCCCGCTCACGGTCCGTGCCCCCCTGTTCTCAGTTTGCAGCTCAGCTGAGGAGCCGGGTCAGCCCGGCCTTCAAGCAGGCAGCCCTGGAGCCCCACCCCCTGTGCGGCCTGGACTTCTGCCCCACCAACTGCCACGTCAACCTCATGGAGGTGTCCTACCCCAAGACCACCCCCTCGGTTGGCAGGTCCTTCAGCATTCGCTTCGGTCGCAAGCCCTCCCTCATCGGCCTTGACCCTGAGCAAGGTACCTGCTGTGTCTGTTAGAGGAGGTGCTTAGACTCACACTACGGTACCTCAACAGAACAGTGTCTGGGGGCTGACAGTCCAGGCTAGAACGGTGGATCCGTGGTCATTAAGAGTCCAGGCCCTTCTATCTTTCTGCGTCACCATCTCTAGAAGGGGTCTCTAACTTTTAGGGTGCCTCATGGTGGAGTATGGCTGCTGGTGAGCCAGCCACCATGTTTGCATTTCCAGACAGGAAAAGCCAACCGTAGTTAAAGGTGTATTAGCATCAAACTGAAACTGTCTTCTTGAGGTAACTTAGTGGATCAAGATTCTGAAAAGGGCAGTCAGGCGCTGTGGCGTGCACCTGTAATCCCAGCTAATGGGGAAACTGAGGCAAAGGATCACAGAGTTTGAGTACAGCATCGGAACTTAGTGAGACCCTGTCCCCAAATTAAAAAAAAAAAATTTAAAAAGGCTGAGGTGGTAGAGCATTTGCTGGCCTGCACGAGGCACTCAGTTCCTTCCCTGGTACCGCCAAAAAAGGAAAAGAAAAAGAAAGTTCTGGCAGGGAAGTTCCCTCTCCGGGAGTTCTGGGAGTGGGTCTGCTTTCTGCTGACCTCCCGCCTGCCCTCCTCCCCCGCAGGCCACCTGAACCCCATGTCCTACACCCAGCACTGCATCACCACCATGGCCGCCCCGTCCTGGAAGTGCCTGCCTGCTGTGGACGGGGACCCCGACGGCCAGGCCCTCAACGACAGCCTCGGGCCCCCCAGCGGGGCCCTGGGCCAGGAGGACCGGGGCCTGAGCTTCCTGCTGAAGCAGGAGGACCGTGAGGTGCAGGACGCCTACCTGCAGCTCTTCACCAAGCTGGATGTGGCCCTCAAGGAGATGAAGCAGTACGTCACCCAGATCAACAGGTGAGCCCTGCCGCCCGGGGAGGCGGGGCAGCATGGCCGCCCCGTCCTGGAAGTGCCTGCCTGCT